AAATAGAAATTGAAATACAGAAATATACATTGCCATTTTGCATATTACATTTGAAAATGAATATTGCTACCCATATGACTCCATATTATGTTAATTATATAATTGTAAATTTTAAATTAAACTTAATTTTCATTTTGCACTAAACATGGCACATATGTATGGAAAAATACACATTTACATACAGAAAAACATTGCCATTTTATATATTGCATTGCCATTTTGCATATTACATTTCAAAATGAATATTGCCACCCATATGCTTCCATATTGTCAATTATATAATTTTATTTTAAATTTAATTTAATTTCATTTTCATTTTGCACTAAACATTGAACATTTGTATGGGAAGATATACATTTAAATACAGAAATACATTGCCATTTTGCATATTACATTTGAAAATGAATATTGCTACCCATATGACTCCATATTATGTTAATTATATAATTTAATTTAAAATAAAATACAATTTTCATTTTGCACTAAACATTGCACATATGTACGGAAAAATATACATTTAAATACAGAAAAACATTGCCATTTTATATATTGCATTGCCATTTTGCATATTACATTTCAAAATGAATATTGCTACTCTTATGCTTCCATATTCAGGGGTTTGACTGGATATTAAATATATATAATTATATATAATACTTCTTTCTCTACTTCTCTTGACCACTTTCCATAAAAGGACTAATGACAAAATGTCAAATTATACAATTTTGATACGATGCCTAAATAAAAATTACACATACTGTACATTAGTGGTCACACGTTTGGAATAATTACGCTTTTTTAATGTTTGTGAAAGAAGTCTCATGCTCACGAAGGCTGCATCAAAAAAGTAAAAAACAGTAATATTTTGAAATAATATTACAATTTAAAATAACTGTTTTCTAATTTAATATATACTTAAATGTAATTTATTCATGTGATGGCAATGCTGAATTTTACTCCAGTCTTCAGTGTCACATGATCCTTCAGAAATCATTCTAATATGCTGATTTGGCACTCAGTTGATATCAAATGTCATTGGTGCTTAATTATAAGTAATGCTTCTTATTATCCAATGTTGAAAACAGTTTTTGCTGCTAATTTTTTTTATTGAAACTGTGATCCTTTTCTCACAATCCTTTCATGTATATAAAAAAGCTAGGTGTTTAAAATATTTGATGAGCTCAATTTATGTGACTATATCAGCATGTGAAGCCTAAATTAAATTGTTTATCATAAAGCTATGGTGTCTCTTCAGAAGACTTGGGTTAAACCGCTACATTCATATGGATATGGCCTTTTTAAACGCTTTAAAGAGTTCTTTTTGATGCTAAAAAGTTTGGTTGACTTTCAATGGATAGGAAAAAATATCGTAATTTGTGCTGCAAAAGATGAACATACAGGTGCATCTCAATAAATCAGAATGTCGTGGAAAAGTTCATTTATTTCAGCTAATCAACTCAAAACACCTGCAAAGGTTTCCTGAGCCTTCAAAATGGTCTCTCAGTTTGGTTCACTAGGCTACACAATCATGGGGAAGACTGCTGATCTGACAGTTGTCCAGAAGACAATCATTGACACCCTTCACAAGGAGGGTAAGCCACAAACATTCATTGCCAAAGAAGCTGGCTGTTCACAGCGTGCTGTATCCAAGCATGTTAACAGAAAGTTGAGTGGAAGGAAAAAGTGTGGAAGAAAAAGATGCACAACCAACCGAGAGAACAGCAGCCTTATAAGGATTGTCAAGCAAAATCGATTCAAGAATTTGAGTGAACTTCACAAGGAATGGACTGAGGCTGGGGTCAAGGCATCAAGAGCCACCACACACAGACGTGTCAAGGAATTTGGCTACAGTTGACGTATTCCTCTTGTTAAGCCACTCCTGAACCACAAACAACGTCAGAGGCGTCTTACCTGGGCGAAGGAGAAGAAGAACTGGACTGTTGCCCAGTGGTCCAAAGTCCTCTTTTCAGATGAGAGCAAGTTTTGTATTTCATTTGGAAACCAAGGTCCTAGAGTCTGGAGGAAGGGTGGAGAAGCTCATAGCCCAAGTTGCTTGAAGTCCAGTGTTAAGTTTCCACAGTCTGTGATGATTTGGGGTGCAATATCATCTGCTGGTGTTGGTCCATTGTATT